AGAACTGGCATGTTGTCTTATTCTGCTGTCAAAGGAACAAACTTTGAAAAACACCTTACAGCAAAAATAAAATTAAAAATGATAGTCTTTTTTTTTTCCTCCACTGTGACACTTTGCTCATGAAAGAAACCTCCAGTGAGTAAATGACAGCAAATCTGTCATACAGCTACTCTAATAATTCTGCTCTTTGAAACAAGACTGATAGTCTCACACAGCAGGAGGGAACTAAAAATGGGTAGATTGCCTCTATGTAACACTGTCAAATGTCAGTGTACCACTGTTAGTTATTGGAAAAGAAATGCCCAAAATATTAAATAAAGCAAAGCTCACCCTTTCAACCCTTTTTCTCCGCACTGTTAATTGTCTGCTAGCTAGTAGGAGAGTAGTATTTGCTCTTGCAAACAAGACACTCACTAGCTGGGAAGGAGCTGTCACTCACTGTTACTAAACCAGGAGATCTCTCATAGAGTGGCATAAGGGCACAGTTCTGCCACTTTTGGTGATGATGCCTCTGTCAGATGTGTACGTCTTGCTGCTATGCTGTACCTGAGATATTACTGCTCTTCCCATCTCTCCCTTCCATTGAAGAGTGACTTTGACTTTCCTGGAGTGTGATGAGCACCTAGTTTTTCCAGAATCAAGTTAGGTTTTCCTAAAATCCATTCCTACTCACCAACCCCTGCCTCAGACACCTTCTGTTCAGCAGATGGGTCATATGCAGGATCTCTAACTCCACTCTGCTGACAGCATGACTTGGAAGCCCCATGTGCGTGTGTTGTGCAATGGGGTCAGGGGTGGAAGGACTGGGCAAAGACTGGGTTTCGGATCACACTTATCTAAAAAAGGAAACACATTACATGAGCCACTATTACCATTACATGAGCCACCAGTTTTAAACACCTTGAAATCCTGAAAGGGAGCATTTACATGTTAATGAAGTGGATCTGCATTATTGTCTGTCTTTGTCTATTATTCTCTATCTGGACAAATCTTACAGGAGCATCTTTTGCTGATAGCTCTCCAGATGATAAGAACAAGCACACATCTTACCCTACAAGAGTTCTTTTACTAATTGGCATTATCTAAGCTCCAGTAGTGCATCAAATGTTGTAATAAGCATCTCTGATCTGTGGTTTCTTTTCACATCCTATTTCCTACAACTTTACATTCTCTGTGCCTAATGCATTAGTGAAGTCTAGACATATTGTGCTCGTTGCACAAGGGAAGGAGAAAAGAGAAGCAAGACTTCTCAAGTTAGTGGAAATTTTTCCTGACAGATCATTTTCTTGTTTTGGTTCATTTTGCTTTGTTGTACAAGGGAGAAATGTCAACATGAGATAATTTCTTAAGCACATGCACCCTGAGACCTACATTTTCAAAAATAATCCCTGGGGAAAGAAAAGACGGTAATTAAAGGTAAGTATTTGAAAGTCAGCTGGGCACCTTAAACTGAGATTCTGGTACACCATTAGGGGGCCACCTTAATATAAGGTCTTAAGAATGAAGCTCTTAGAAAGACTTCTGTTTTATTCAGGCGAGGAACACTCGCCCAGGGATAAGTAAGAATTCCTTGCAATTTTCTCATGGGTCCTGCAGAATCCTAGGAGCAATTTCATACATCACAAAATGCAGGTCCACTGCACTTTAGTTACTGTCAGCGGGTGGTTAAAAAGCACAATGTCCACATTGTACCTAAGCTGGAATTAAAGAGGTATCAACTATTTTTCAATATAGAAAGCTTTGTCTTCCGACTACAAGAATAAATAAGTCATTGGTCAGGAATGCTGGATAGTTATAATTTCAGGCCTATAAATCCTACTTAGTGTGTATTGTAGCCAGCTTTTACGGAAACGTTACTTCATGAAAATCACACTAATAGCACTAATAGCACTGTATTATTTATTACTAAGAGTTAGAGCTGCAGCAGCATCCTCATCATCCCTCAGCTATCTCCCCTCGCAGGAAAGCAATAACTGCCATGGCTTGAAAAATGGCTGATAGTACCATGAGGAATTTCAATATCAGTTTGAAAAGTGGATGTTCTTTGCAAGCTATAATGCAATGAGCAACACAAAGCACCTAGATAGAGGCTTATTTAGAGGATACGTTGATAACACTGCATACTTTCTTAAACAGCCTTTTCCTTGACTTCTTTTTTTTTATTTTATTTTTATTTATTTATTTTTTATTTAATATAGTGACACGGATCTGAAGTTAAGGTTTCTTTGCATGCCACTTTTATGTAAGCAATATCAATGACTAATAATCCCATACAAAGCCGTCAGCACAACTCCAAATAAAGCTGTCAGCCTTGCATGAGCTCTGCTGCCAGGCTATAAGTGCCTGGGCTGCTTTACCACTTCCTTGGTGTCTGGCTGGTCTGAAACACGGGCAGTGTCTCTGCTCAGTTAAGCACAAGAACAAGTCTCTGAGAAGTCCTCAGCCAACAGCTGAACGTACCCATGGGCACTTGTGAAGCAGCAGGATGAAATTCAAGAAGGAAACTGCAGAGCACCACACATAGGCAGGAATATACAAATGCACAGAGGAATGAGAAAAGGCCATTTAGGCAGCAGTGGTAACAGCTGTCCGCAAGTGTCAGAAAGCAAGCAACATCATACTGGCACACACAAGCAAAGATGTAGCCTGTAACATACAAACAAAGCAATTCTTCTGTTCTCAGTACTGCTAAACATCTCAGCTGAAGTACAGTGTCCTCTTAAGGCATCACAGTTCAAGAAAGAGATGGTGTAACCGGAAATAGTTCAGGTAAGAGCACTGAGTATGGTCAGAGCTCCAGCAAAACGTCCCGTGAGGAGAGAGACTCGGGGGTCTGGACTGCTAGGCAAGAGAAGAGAAGATGGAGGGGGCACATGGACATATTTCAGGTATGTACCATTGGTCATTCAGCACGCACAAGCTAAAGAGATGTTATGGTTTTGAGCTACAGAAAGGGATATCAGGATGAGGCATTAAAAAACAGTACTGAATGGCAAAAGGGATGAGCCAGTCATAATAATGCTATAAGGAAACTGTGGAGCCTCTGTCAATAAACCTCAGCAAGCACAAGTTAGAAAAATAGCTATTAAACAACAAAGGTGTATGGTGGTGCTGCATTAGAACCGAGGGATGGACTATATTAGCTCTTAATGTTTCCTTTTGCCATCTTTTGTTATGATTCTCTCACATCCAACTATCTATAAAGCAGATAACATGTTTATAGCAACACTGCCAACGATGAGATGGGTATGGCCACAAACAGGAATCATTCAGCGGACAGCTGCAGGAAACTGAACTAAAGGGGTTCCTTAAAAGTCTAAAACTCATTTCTCTCTTTTCTGGATATAATAAACAATAACACCCACTGAGGGCAGGAAGCAAAGGAAAACGCAACACATGCCAAACACTCTAAGAAACCTAGTTAGGTAAAACTAAAATACTGCTTCCATCCCATCTGCAGCCAGTTTATAATTTTACCTTTTCTCAGGATATGCAATGCCTGTGCTCCTAGCTTCCACATTCATACATTGAGGAAAATAAAACCACACAGCTTTTCCTATTGCTTTCCAAACTAAATTTACTCTCCCCTTTTCTCAGTGACTCGAATGAACACTGAAGCCTCCAAGTTCAGAAGACAAATACAAAACATAAACTCTATAATCCCCTTTCTTACAGGAACAAAACCTATGCTGTCATGCTAGGCACCTGTCAGCTGCCTGTCCCAGAAACTTATCAGCTTGCTGGACAGTTTCATCCTGATCTGACAAAAAATGAATAAATAAATAAATAAATAAATAAATTATATATATATATATGTTTTGTACAAGGTATGCATTTGATCCTGGCCTGCCAGTCAGCACAAACAGAGCTCTTGAGCAGTGGTTAAAGTAGGGCTACCGGGGAAAAAGGGATGAAGACGGGAAGGGAAGGGCTGCGGTCAGAAGACGAGAATTCAAAGGAATATTGGCTTCCTTATTTTGGTTGCTCATGCACTGACTTGTTTTACTTTCTGAACTTAAAAATTGTAATTTGTCTTCACGAGTTTGGAGGAGAAGAGGAAGGGTGCAGACAACCAAATTGCAATTTCTTAAATCCTCAGTAGGATAGTACTATTTTAACACACACAGAATAAAAATAAAAAAATAATAAAATTAAAATTAAAAATAAAAATAAAAATAAAATAAAAATAAAAATAAATTCTACAGGCCCAGTGATACCTGTTAGCAGCCAGGAGTGCTGCTTTACATTGCACCTTGAAAGACACTGCCTGGAGGAGCAGAGCCTTCTCTAACATTACCCAGATGCCCACCCCACAGCCAGAGCCAGGACCGCAGGCTTTGTAGGACCTTTTTAATGACCACATCAGCTGAACTGTACCCAGCTCGTGCCATGCACACAATGCAACCCTGTTCAGCTCAGGCAAACCTTTTCCAGTGCAGACTTCTGCAGAGGAGAATGAGCGCTGCAGCTTGCTCCAACAAGCACGAAGAGACAGCAGAGGGAGCACGCACACATCTCTGCCCATCCCACTGACTCCTGTGGAAACTCACTCCTGGGTCCAGCCCTTTGGTATCGCTCCGGAGAGGGACGTATGGGGTATGGCAATGCAGAGCAACCCCAACAGTCCCTTCTGGGTAGTGAGATGAAATTTTAATGAATCATTTTAATGATTCTGACATCTTACGGTATGCATATACATTATACCCAAAAATAATAAAAATGAATGACTGCCTTGGATTTCTCAGAAGCCTTAGGGTTAGATTGTAAACGCAAACCCTTCCTCCCCTGTCAAAAATGACACTTGTCAATACTGAGACAAGCTCCCCCACAGCACCTCCTGGTCCCTATAGGAATCCTCAGAAAGCAGAGCAAAGAACTGCCTAATGCAATCAGAATTAAAAAGCAAAACCTGGGACTAAATGCCCACCCCAGCAGGTGTCATTTCATGCACGTGTTGTGATTGGGAGGTTAAAGACACACATGCCAAGGGACGGGGAGAGGCCTCTACTCCAAGCAGAACAACCCTGGGAGGTGACATTTTTCTGGGCTAGCAGGCCAGCTGGGGTCACAGCCCAGTGGCCCAGTTCAGAGCTGAGATGTGAGCATAGCGGCGCTCCTGACCTGCAGCTGTCCCCGTTTAGACCACGCACACTGAAGCACTTAGCATCACATGGCCAGGAAGCAAAGGAAGATCTACTTTAGAAAGATCTATTTCGAGAGCCCTTGGACACGCAGGTGGCCTCATTGCTTGAGCAGTGCTGTGTGTGCTCAGCAGCAAAACACAGGGGTGCAGGGCAGGAGCTGACGGGGCTGCAGAGCTGCTGACAGCCAGGCACAAGTAAGGTAGCAGTGCTGAGAAAGTCAGCGGGCAGGTACAGGAGGCAAAAACAGAGCCTAAAAAACACAGTTTACCTGCAACTTCATTACTACTTGCTCTGGATCATGTTTTTCCATGAAAGTTTCTATTACAGGAAGGAAAAAAAAAAAAAAGACTTCTTGCTTTTTGTCTTGACCTTACCCTTCCACTGTATTCCACACTCTTTGCTCAGTCAGTTTCAGCCTTAAATCTGGAGACAGGATGTGAGTGAGTCACATTAAATGAAGACTGTTCTCTATATTTTCTGACTCACTGCAGACTCGAGTTTCCAAATCCTAAGTTCTTTCTGCACCGTCAGCCATCTTAGGTAATGTAGCAAATTCCTTAGCTACAGCATTATAACTTGCTCATTTTCTGCGGAAGCTTAGGAGGTACCAAAGACTGACTGGGGGACTTCTTTCCAACTTTTATATTTGTCACTGTGTCCAGATGAGCTGAACGATTTCTTCTTTCTAAATTCAATGGCAAATTAATAGTATATGAAACATAACACCTGTGAAGATCTTGGCCTGTTCTGACAATAATAATAATATGGGCACACATATATACACAGGTATGTATTCTCAGTTGTAATTCGGAGGCCTTGCTTTGTGGTAAAAGCTTTGGAAGATCACCTTTGTCTTTTTTCACTCTTATTTGCCATGATTCTGTATAGACACATTGACTAAGACCAGGACTTCCATCCACACACAAAGGAGAGTCAAAGCAACCCTGAAGAAGGGCATTAGGAATGATTTCAACCTATTTCCACTGGCTCAAAAATATCTGTGACCAGTTGCCAGTCAGACAGCTGCTGTGCAGTTTTCTGGGTTCCAGCACCAAACAGGAACTATGTCCATCCCAAAGTATCTGAAGGACATCCCAATGAGTCCCTTGTCTCATCGGCAGGTGAGTAATGAGAGAAGTGCTGCTGTGATTTGACTGCCCCACGGGGTGATGCCTCCATAGCCAACAGAGAGCCAGGCAAAGCTATCTTTATGTGGGAAAAATGTGAACCACAGATTCAGGGGTTGCTAATTGGGGATGTGAGACTCAGAGGGGACTAACTCTATCATTTTCCTCATTCTTGTTTTGTGGACTCATAATAATAGCTTAATTATGGTTTTAATTTTGGAAATACAGATTATTGTTCTTCAATGCAAAGGCCAGACAGATAATGATTTCTTTGTTGCGAGTCTGGCAGAACACAATGCTTCTTGTTTATAGCAGTGACGGGATAATTTATTTGCATGCAGGAGATAGTTTGTTCCACTGGATACCCTTTAGCCTTTATTCTTCTATTGTTCAGAAATAACACAGTATGTTACAATTACAATTATATCACAATAAGCCTTCAATTATTGGGTAAACCAATTTAATCAAACGAGCACGGCTCATACATAGCTGCAATTACCTGTTAAGCTATGGCTACTGGTGGTTAACAATGCTGTCTTTCTTTGCATCTCAAGAAATGGCATTTCCTAATTTAAACACATTCAATTATCAGCAAGACTGACAGTGTCAAATAATATTATGGCAATTATTCTATTATGGTGTTATTCCACTGCTCTACCCACAGATGGACAGTGGAAAGATGACGATTTTGGTGCTCCTTGTATATGTTGTACAGCCCCCTGCTGCCATCACACTGTGGGAATTTGTGTGTGCATCTCATTACACATGAACGAGATCACAAGGGCAATTTCCTGTGATGTGATTCTTCAGCATCTGCCATCAAGGCAAAAACACCTTTGCAGCTCTGAACAGCACGGCAGCTATCGGCCCTGGTAGCAACAGCCTCTCTTTTGCTCACAGCTGCCCTGAAGACCTTTCACACTGTGCTGAAGGATGAAGCCTGATGATATCAGGTAAAACTATAAAATAAGTAACCAAACCTCTGCCAAACTTTTCAGCAGAAATATCCAGCTTCCACGCTCACTCAGTAATCCCAACCCATCCACCACATCTGTACAGATACCCCGTGTCCAAAGCATTCCTCTGCAGAGCTTTGCAATTTATATCTCCTGCTGTCATTTTGCAGCAAACTAGCAACTGATATGGGAGTAATGAGCGATAATAAGCTTGACAATGCAAAGAATTGCCCTGTCAATGCAATTACTCAACATCAAGTCAAGCTGAACCAAACCTACCAGTGCTAATTTATCTGAACCTTCACAGACCATCTCCTTTCCTGGGCCAGAGCATCTCAGAAATTTTTCTGCAGATCACAGACCGCGAAGCATCCACAGCTCTATACATGAGGATGTATACAACTGCATACATTCCTTAAACATATACGGATAGTTTTCATGCTATGGAAACACATGTAAAAGTGCAAATCATATTTTATCAAACAAAAGCACTATGCCTCCTTAAATATGTACTACTTATCCCTAGACTTTCAGAGTCTGTACTATAAATCAGAAGTAAATTAACTCACTCAACCATATCCAATCACCTCTTCTAGCCTTACTGCTCACTCTTTATGACATTACAGATGTTTTCGACTTTGTTTCACTACCCAATTGTTTTACCTCTAACTGAGCCTTGGATGAAGTCATAGGACTCAGTTTGTGTAACCCAATGTCGCTTCACTGGAGCTCAGGGAGTTATGTGTTCTTATAACAGCAATGAATTTAATTCACGCTCAGAGGAACAACATAGTTGCAGCACACTGCTCAACATGAATTATGAGGACAGCTTTGAGCGCTCAGGTAAATGGATATCATAAATTTAGCCCTGGTATAAATCTAGGAATTCATACTGGGAATGGATGCAACTGAGTTGTCTTGCTGCTCACGTGCTCTCTGGTTTAAAGGCTACACATTATTCATGGCTGATGTAAGCAGCTGAAAGTCTGCTAAACTCCCTGGAATTGCACTCAGCTATGCTAGCCATGAACGTGTCCCTGTGGCATTATCCAATACACAGCTAAATCAGCAGTGCCAAATGGTGACACAAAACCGAGACACGCAGAATGAGATTTTTCAGAGCTTGTTTCAAAGATAATGGAAAATCTGAAGCCTGTACCCGAATATGAAGGACTATATCACAACTTCCTTGGAGAGGGATGACAGCAGTGGCAGAAGTGATTATCCCACATCTGAAGGAATTAGCTGAAATCGGTGAAACTAATTCTGGGGGAAAGTGTTATGCAGAAGAACAAGGGCCAGAACTGAGCCCAGAGTAACATCCTGTTCAAAGCCAGGAGGAGGAACTGAGGCTCCTCATCTGTTTGTGACATGATCCCCTCGCAGCACTGCTGTAAGTCAAGAAACAAGAACCCCTTATGTCATTGCTCTTCCCCCCAGCTTTCAATACTCCACATAATTAGAGCTTTTTAACATGCAGCTCATGTGAGAACTTTGAATGTAATAACAAAATGCCTAATCTGGTTACCTGAGCCATCGGAAAGAACACGCATTCTTGCATATCAATGATGCATTAATACATCAGAAGCTTTTCAGAGTTATTAAAACGGACCTAAAACCACAAGCAATTTCCAAGCTAATATTCCAGATGCACCACGAGATCTAATTCAAGAAGTCCTGCCACAGAACAGTTTATCTCATTTTACTTCTCATGAGACCAATAATTATGAACTGATGTACACAAAGGCTGTCTCAGGTGTAGCAATCCCCAGAGGAGCATCACCACAAACTGAACAAATGTATTTCATCCTGAGATTCTAGCAAACAAACTGAACAGAAATATGCAGCAAACAAAATCCAAGCAGTTACAAACTCAAGAAAACATAGTGAAATATACATGGCAAGTATCCATGGCTGAGAAACAACTGCTTTCCTCAGAAGGTCTCCTGATGATGCTTCGAAGCCTGGAGAGGATTATGCAGCTGAATGCGCCCATTTTGCACTTTCCATCTGCAAAGGTTTTTAACTAATGAACCTTCACAAGGCCCCAGTGAGACAGGTAAGTATTTTAAGCCACCTCACAGAAAGCTAAGTTGGCTACCGTTTTGGTAAAGCTGATGCCAGAGCAGATATTGGAAAGCTGTAGTCCCAAAGGCACTGTGATACTTATGAGAACTTTTCTTCCCTGCACTGTACTTTATTCTTTCTACCCTCCTCCTTTGGGTTCAGCAAGGGAACACAGTGATACTACGGCTGATTTTTGTCACCCTATGAAATCCACAGAGCTGACTCACTCCACCAGAACATTTAGCACTGCAAGAGCTATCGTGATGAGCAGGAAGTGGCTGACTTTAAGGCACTGAGCATAAAGCATGAAAGGATGTTGCACTCTGAGCTGCAGAAAATGCCTCCCTTCACTTGAGATTGCAAGTCATTTATCTTCTACTGGAGTACCCCTTCCTGGTGAACAGAGCTAGCAGGGGAGCCTGCTCATGCTGTGTTAAAACCATGTTTGTTGGAGAATTCAGCCAGGATGTAGACTTGTCCTTCTCCTCCCCCTAGGGAAGATATACACAGGGTTTAAAGCTCTCTCTTGTTTCCAAACCCTTTCTTGTTCCCTCCTATAGGAAGGGGAAGGCACAAAACCTTCGTATGTGGCTTGGAACAGTGTAAGGAGATTGCAAGCCAGCAGGCAGCAAAACACGTGGCTATTCACTTGGGCAGTCTATCCTGATGGATGTAATGAGACTATTTGCAAACATAAATATAAGGTTGTGTGGAAGTACAGGGTTGGAGCTGTGTGATGAGCCTTTAACTTTATTCTTTCTTAATATTCAAATGGTTACTTTGCAAGCTATGCTGAACATCCCATTATCAGTGCTTATGGATGCTGTTTCCCTGCACTGATTTGTTAATTAAATATGAAATTATAACAGGCAATGCATCACTGCTGATCAATTAATGTCTCAAGTCCTCTGTGAAACTCTGTCAGTTCAGAGTTCGTGCCACCAAGAAATGTTCTTTTCTTGGCTATCCTACTTTCTGAGAATGCTTTATAAAATAAATGTGAAAGCAGGTGATACTGCATAGCTTCTGTCTTCAACATCATCCTTGTGTTAACAGTTCCACCTTGTGCAGCTCACAGAGGTGGTAGTCACTAAAATTGCAATTATAACATCTAAAGTGGTGGGATTATTTTAAGTGATAATTGAGATTCATTTCCTACTCAGATTTTGTCATAACAACTCTGTCTTCTTTCCCTTCGTTATGGAGAAAAGACTGGTGAAGCCACATAAAAAGACACTCTTTCTTACAGACATTTATTTAGTTAACATTATTGACATTTAAAGATTCAAATGGCATTAAGAAGTATTTCTGCATAGCAGAACTCTATCAATTGCCTATCTGAGAAATGCATTACAAGTCTGAACTAATCCTGCATTTTCTGTAACATCAGCCATCGTATGCATCTCACTGCAAGATCTGAGTGTAAAAAGAGAGACTGGACTTCAAAGAAGAACATTTACCCCAGTTATGTTCTTTGCACTGTATCGTTATTCTTTCCTCAAGAAACAAAGAGATGCTGTCACACTACATAGCTAGCTGCTGTGGCCATAACTACTTTCTCTCACTTTTCTGTACCACAGCTCTATGTATGTCTTCAGAACACGTATTTTGTTGCCAGTTTTAAGTTAAAAATTGGTCTGTTCCCTGAGGCTGGAAACTGAAACCTGCTTTTAGGGGACTCCTGTTCCACTGCAGAGTTTGTAATGGAAGATGACACTGACTGTCCAGGGACTCTCTTTTTTCATCTTCTTGGTACAGTGCTGGGGGATCAACCACAACACAGCATGGCCCCACTCTGCACTCCCGCCCCTCCTGAGACCTGGTTCCTGCCTCTCTTTCCCCCCACAGCTGAGTGTTCCTAGCCTCAGCACAGCGAGTCCTTCCCCAGAATGCTTAATGCTGCTGTGGAAACTGGTGACATTGTGAGAAACTGACATGAGAGGTTCAGATGATACTGCCCGTCATAATGAAAGGGTCTCACCCAATAAGTCACAGAGCCTAAGCAAAACAAAAGAAAAAATGACCACACAACATAGCCTCTGAAAACTACACATTTCTATTTTTTTTTTTCTTTTCTAAAAAGCACTAAGAAAATGTTGACTCCTATGTGGAACAAGAGAAGCAAGATTCAACTGCAGAATAGTGTCCATAGATCTTGCCCATGGGGCCCTTTTCACACATGTAAAGCCCAGAGGACAGATTCATCCAGAGACATTTTAATTTTTAATCAAAATCTTTCAGGCTGAAATATCATTATTGTAATTGGAAATGGTTCCATTTAAGCTATTGAACTGTTCTTGAACTGAACAGAATAGCATAAAATGCTCTTGGTTCTTTTATAAAATAGTAGGAAAACTACTTCACTTATAAATCAAAATGCTGGGGTGTTTGTTAGCTGCCATCTTATTTGCTGGAGCACTTTTATGTCCTAAGGTTGCACTGTTATCAGCTCCTAACATGAGCTCAGGCAAGGAAGCTTTCTTGAATCATGTCAGCCTTTAAGGGGTTCAGAAGCTGAATTTTTCTCAAGAGGCTAAAATTCACATTCAACCTCTTACAATTTCAAGAAAAAAAAAAAAAAAGTAATTATGGAGTTTGCTTTGGCTGTTCTTTGCTTGTTTGTTCTATTATTTTCTTGCTTCATCTATGTTCACGTTCTATCCATTCTTTTTTCTTTTATATTTTTATAGGAGATGCTGTTTTGATTGCGTTATTGTAGCATTCAAAAATATTGCCTGTAAAAAGAATAATGTATCCTGTAGTGTGAAACTAGCTGCTTGCGTAGCAATTATACGGTAAGTCATAGAGTCATAAATAAAATCACAAGCCTATATTTCCATTTATTCTGTCTTTTTAAGGACTTTAACAGCTATTGAGAGCTCATCAGCAGGTAGTTCAGAGGGGTCGATACATGAAGTTCAAAGATTTTGCTAACTTTCCAAGGAAGCATGGATGTTTTCAAGCATTTCAATAGAGAGTTCCTCTTTCCAAATATAACCCTACAATAAAGACTTATGTAGCATGTACTTTCCCAGAAAACATCTGCACAGAACCACTCAGACAGTTTTTGCCACTGACTGCACTAGGACCAGGGTTTTGGTGTAACTACTAGTTTGCATTGTCAGGAATACTTTTACATGTGCTTTCTCTACAAGCCAGGAGTCTGCTCAGTGCATTAGCTGGATCCGGAGAGAAAGCAGCAGTACCTATATTTAATCAACATTGTTTTGAAGAGTTCAGCTTCCCTACAGTTACCATATACCATCTAGTGATACAAAAGGAAACTGCAATTTCTAATTCATTATTCTTTGAACGAAAGATGACAACAACATATTTTAGATATTTTGCTTTCCTTCCATTAAAACAAAATGTAGTCATGATAGTGCTATCTCTAATAGATTTTCTATGAAAAATCTTGTGACGCCAGCTAGTTTTCAAGAAGATGTAACTTCTGAAGATATCTGACTATATGAGAATCTCAGCTTCAACTAAAGTAAAAACAGTCATTTTTATAACTACAGAAATACATTTTAAAAAGGTGTAAAACTCAGGGGCCAAATTTAAAAGAAACTCAAAGTCTAATTTTGTTATTTTAAAAAAAAAAAAACATTTCGTTATTTTGAAGATCATTTTTTTAAAATACTAGATTAATATTCTCTGTTGATGGGAAGGAAGTCAAAGAGAAAGAGTTCTTAGTGGCCTTGAGACTAGGATACAAGATTCACTACTGGGAAAAGCAGGCTTTGATCCTGGAAACTCTGCACGGAAAACTAAAGGATTTAAATACACTGAATTATAGGACAGTAGCTGTTTTGTTGTCATTTTTATTTGTTTATTTGTTTTTTCTGCTTGTCTGCATCACCATACCGATGATTTCAATTCAACAGCAACATATACTGTGATCGGATTCTGACAGATGGGGTAATGGAAAAAGTCAACGTTTACTTGGTGGAAGAAAATTTTACCTTGCCTGCCAAATGGGACAATAAAATAAATTTTTGTATGCTGTGTAGATTTTTTTTATTGCTATTAAATGAAAGCAAAACAATCCGGATCTCTCCCTGGGAGTCTGCAGACAGAATGGGTACAGATCCACTGAGAATCACAAGTCAGGAGAACTGAGAAATGAAACTCACCCTCAGCTTCTCCCATTTCTGCTCCTCAGCATCATGCAACATTCTTTTTTTTAAGCAAAATGGGAATGCTCCCATGACTAAACAACGCAATCCTTCCAAACGTATGAAATAGCAGTGTAGTTGCCAGGCATTGCTACATTTCTACATTATGTAAGCAAAACACAAAAAATACACAAGGTAAAGTAGTTGGATTTCCATATTGTGCAGCAATATGATCCCACGCTCTGCAAGAGTTTAGAGGAAAGGAGTGCAGTGAGTGATAAGCAACAGGGCTTCATAGAACAGAATTGTCCTCAAAATGCAATCAGCATTTGTTTTTAATATAGTTGTGTTTTGGAATTCAACCCTCAGCCCATCCTCTGGCCGCTAGCAAAGAGCCCAGGGTTCACTGTCACTTGAGTGGCACAGTGGAGTCTTCACAGCTTCTGTTCTGTACAGAGGATTTGCTGAGGGTGCAGGGGTGTGGACAGGGGGACATGATACCATACGTCATCTACTCCTTTAGTGCTAGAATAACTTACAGCTACTCTGAGGTTCCCAAATCTGCTTTGATATAAACTGTCTCAAAACCACAGCAGGAGGAGAATGCTTTCTACCATCTCTCTCTAACTGTGCCAAGTGCAGCAAGGGTCAAGCTCTTGGTAAATATGAGACATTGGTATATCTGCAAAGGTTTATATAGTATCAAGTACATTTGAAGAACCAGAAGCAAATTTTTATAAATGGAATCACTGAAATATGGATTAATAATTCTCCATTGTCAAAGCAGCAGCAAATATTAATGGCGTGTAGACACTTACCAGAGGAAGCAGTGTCTTTTAAAGACTAATCTGGTGAATCTACTTTTCAAGCCACTGTATTCATTAATAATTTAGTGGCGAGCATCAGACATCAATTCCAGATTGATGACACTGTAGACAATGGTAACAACAAAGAGACACGTATGGGAGAACAGAACTGTGAAGGAAGCAGATGTAGAAAGGCAGAACTGAAGTGTTTTCATGTGTTATAACAAACAGATACGAACTCATATGCATTAAGGAAACCATCACTGGAGTAGATGGGATGTGTCCATGCCAAAGGCACTAGCACAGAAAAAGATACCATCTGCACTCTGACTGACATAAAAGCTGGTACTAAGGACTGATAATAGTGTAGGTAACATTTTAGAAGGTATAATCTTACTAGATCTTAAGCAGATCATTTCTTATCCCCTTATTCCAAACTCTTCAACTAGATACTTTTGTGTTCCTTATTCCTTTAGTCCAGTGAGGTGTAACACATTTAAAAGTCTTTGGTTACCAGCTTTGGCACAATCTGCTATTGCCTTTAACTGCCATTCATGAAGTGGAAAATAAAATTGTGCATTCACTAGTACATTTTCTCAGTCGATCTGCAGTAAACTGTCACAAACCTCCTGAACACCGGCAGGGATTTTTTTTCCCCCCTAAATATAGTTCTCCAAGGTTCTGCTTCTCTTATGAAGCTGTATGCAATGTCAGTAGCTGTGCTTTAAGTTCCTATATCCCCCGAGAACCCTGACTTGCTTTCCTTATTCAGGTCAGATTTCAACTGAAACCAACATGAATTTGGCCTCAATAACTTCCACAGGATCAAGGTCTGTTTTGGTACAGGATTAAGCCTACTGCTGATGAACAAACTCACTGCCAGTAAAGGACTTTTCCTTTTTTATAATCTCTATTCTTTGGCCCAGCACCAAAAAGACCTTTCTAAATAGCAGGATAGGTTACGGAATCACAGAATCACAGAATTGTAGGGGTTGGAAGGGATCTCAAGAGAGCATTGTGTCCAACCTCCCTGCCAAAGCAAGTTCCCTAGAGCAGGTTGCCCAGGTAGGCGTCCAAACGGGCCTTGAATATGTCCAGGGGAGATTCCACAACCTCTGTGGGCAGCCTGTTCCAGTGCTCCGTCACCCTCACCATGAAGAAGTTCTTTCGCATGTTGGTGCGGAACTTCCTGTGCTCCATCTTGTGGCCATTGCTCCTTGTCCTGTCCCCACAGACCACTGAAAAGAGGTTGGCCAAATCCCTCTGTCTCCCACACTTCAAGTATTTATAAACATTGGTAAGATCCCCTCTCAGTCTTCTTTTCTCAAGGCTGAACATACCCAGGTCTCTCAACCTTTCCTCACAGGGAAGATGCTCTAGGCCCCATATAATATTTGTGGCACTCCGCTGGACTCTTTCCAGGAGATACTTGTCTTTCTTGTACCGGGGAGCCTAGAAGAGGACACAGTACTCCAGGTGAGGCCTGACCAGGGCAGAGTAGAGAGGGAGGATCACCTCCCTTGACCTGCTGGCCACGCTCCTTTTAATGCATACCAGGATCCTGTTGGCCTTCTTGGCCACAGGGGCACAGTGCTGGCTCATGGCCAACCTGTTGTCCACCAGGACCCCCAGGTCCTTCTCCTCAGAGCTCCTCTCCAGCAGGTCGTCCCCCAGCCTGTACTGATACATGCGGCTGTTCCTTCACAGGTGCAGGACTCTACACTTGCTCTTGTTAAACCTCATTTGGTTTCTTCCTACCCATCTCTCCAGCCTGTCCACGTCTCGCTGAATGGCAGCACAGCCCTCTGGTGTGTTGGTCACTCCTCCCAGCTTTGTGTCATCAGCATACTTGCTGAGGGTGGACACTATTCCTTCATCAAGGTCGTCGATGAAGATGTTGAACAAGACCGGACACAGCACTGACCCCTGGGGAACACCGCTAGTCACAGTAGTCCAGGAGTCCCAAGGGGGAGTCTTTGAAGCAAAGACTGAAGCAAAGAAGGCATTCACTGTCTCCACTTTCTCAGCATTCCCTGTTACCAGGACACAAATGCCAGGTTGCCACATGGATGTTTGTCCTTAGATGCAATCATGTCACATTTCCTAAAAACAGTATGAATTACAGCCAGGCCATTCTAGGCTTTTATAAATAACTCAGCAGCTTAACCAAATGTTTTTGTTTTATAATTACTGATTAAATTTAGAATTCAGCATTAGATCTGTGATATCCTGTGTTCTCTGATACCTCTGATTTCCGTGTGTTAAAACACGAAAAAGTGCAGCTGACAACACTTCTAGGCCTAGCAAGCATTTGATGAGACAATTTGCTCATTTAGTTACGCTGAAAGATTTAGTTTTGTATTTATGTGGAATGAGTACTCTGATGCGTTTGGCCTCTCTTCCTAGTATCATCAACTCCAACTCCTGGCTCCACACAGGTCTACCCAAAAATTCAGACCATATGACTAAGTGCACAGTCCAAACACTTCTTGAATTCTGACAGGCTAGGTGCTGTGACTACATAGCTGGGGAGTCTGTTCCAGTGCGCGACAGCACACCTCTCAGTGAAGAACCTCTTTCTGATGTCCAGCCTAAACCTCCCTTGTCGCAGCTTGACACCATTGCCTCGAGTCCTATTGCTGCA